TCGATTGACATAAAAATCTAAAAAAATTTGGAATTAGCGGATGCCGCCTTTAAATGGCCTTATCTAATACGGATTTTATGGTAAGTAGAGTTTTCTCACCGTGACAATTGGACTCGACCAGATCGGGTAAAAATATGAAAAGTGATAAAAGTAAGGATAAAATCATTGGAATAGCTGGCAATCTAAAGATCTGCCACTCCCGAAAGATAAGTTATCTTTGTCGTTGCCAACTAACAAATCTGACTGGTATCAGAAGCTTATCACATTTCGTAAAGCCTGTCTGTGATTCGATTATCTTATTGTGATGGTGATGACGGCATAGATATAACACAAATTAGATGAAAATGATTTATGTAAAACAGTAAGCGGACGACGGTCAGTCGAATTGGCAATAAACCAGTTGAAACATTTTTTGTTTTGTTCTGGACAATCTCTCTGTTTTGGCATTTGCCGAAAATGGCGAAAAATGGAGGAAAATAAAAAAGAAAGAAGAATATATGAAAAATTATGTACATCATGGTTACAGATGAAAGAATTGGACGAATGAATGAGAAAGAATATCAAAATGAAGAAAATGCGTCAAAATTTACAAGCACCGGGAAGGGAAAGAGAGTGAAATTGTAACAAAACGAAAATGATAGAGATAGTGGAAATCTAGCAAATAAATAAACAGAATTTGGGAAGATCTAATCCAAATCGAATCCCAAAATTTCTTGAAGATCCTCCAGCATATCCATACTGTTAAAAACTTGGATATATCGGATTCCCAAAACAGCTGCACTTTCACAATTAATCTTTGAGTCATCCACATAGATCACTTCCTCTGGCTGTACATCTGCACAATCCAAAGCGATTTGATAAAATCTGGGGTCTGGTTTTTTGACGCCTTCTTTACATGACTCAATAACGAAGTCGAAATATTTCTCCATATTTGGAATCCTTCGTCCATTTCTTTTCTCATCGACGTGATAGGTATCCAACATCAGAATCGTCTTCACTCCTCTCTCACGAAGCTTCCGACAAGCCGTCAGGACTGCTTCTTCCTAGAAAAGGGGAATATTTGATGTGCGATTCGACTAGAACACTTACATAGACTGCTTCATGATCGTATTCCGTGGCGGAGAAGAACTTCAGTTTTTCTACTCGAGATCCGAACTGAAGCCATGGAAAATTAATTCTAAACTTCAATCCTAATAAGAACTCACTTTTCTGTTATACGCTGACAAGAAAAGACGGTCGAAATCTTTTGCAGTGTAAATTCCAGTGAGTAAATCTTCCTGAAATCCTTTTGGGAGAATCGCTGAGAGCTCCTTGCTCACTAACGTTGGAATAAGGGAGTTATCGAATAGTTGATTATCTTCTTCGATTTCTGGAAATAACTTTATTCCCAATTCGCTCTTCAATAATCAAAACTCACTTCTGTATACATGAACATTTCTCGATTGCATCCACATCACTTCTCCATAATCGAAAATGACAGCTTTAATTGGGTTCTCATCGTGATTGAGTGAGTCTGCATCAGAAGATGCCGACGATGGCGCCGTACTTGTGCTCATTATTCTGGAAGAAGTCCGCAAAAGTACGACTGCTGAATCAGTTGACATTTTTGATGAGAACACATATGATAAACAATAGTGAGAAGTAGTGAAAACGAGAGAGAAGAGGGAGGAGACAGGAGCGAAATGTTTACCCATACACTAATACGAAAATTTGAAAGTCAATCAAGTAGTCACACGTTTTTTTCAGCGCCAATTTTTCCAGACAAAACTACGCTCGTCATTCTGAAAATAGAGTGAGGTGAAACAATGAAACACACATTTTTCTGTGAGTAAGCGAACCGTATCAAAAAATTCGATCTACCTTTTTTCTTTTGAGAGGAAATGACAAAAACGGATCAAAAGAGAATGATGAGGCAAAGAAAAAAAAAGACCAATCGGGGCGTAAATCGTACTCATTCGTGTCGATATCAAATTAAAAAGAACGTATTGAATGGTCAAGGTGGTACATATAGTGTTCTTTGACAAAGACAAGCACATGGTCTTTTTTTCGTTTTTGAAGTGGCTATTTGAAAATTTGGGGGGAAAAGGAAGCACAGGGCAAAAGGCGGCAAGGTTGTTGAACTTTGAACAGTTGACTGAAGACACCCTAACACCCTAACAAGGTTTTCTTCTTCGGAAAAAATTCAAAAAAGTCACCTAACCTTGTAAAGTATAACTGAAAAATATTCCTGAAATAACCGAAGAATGGCAGCATGTGTCCTGAGGAAAAAAGAAGAGAATCGAACACGAGGTTACAGAGGGAAAGGACAATTCTCACAAGACTGTTCTACTTTTTTATTAAAATTCGATCTACAGTAAATAGTTTTAAAGAAGCACATTCTATTCATGCACTTTGAGCTCAATTATCTGGGTTCCTTCATAAGATATCGAAAATTGTCAACTGATAAAATTTTGGTGATATTATGAAAAACAATTTATCACCTGACAAATTTTTGATATCTTTTGAATGAACAGTTATAATTGAGCTCAACCGACAACTTATAGGATGAGCATCTATTCTAGCATATGCTCGAGGTTGACCCAAAAGTTCCATTTGTCATAAATCTTTCTAGACGTCGAAAAAGAAATTAACTCTCAAAATCGGAATTAATCAGTTATGACTGGACCAGGTCAGAGATTTTTGAAAATGGGAACGCTCAAAAAATAAACTTCAGGTTCAAAAAGTTGCGAGCCTTCGTCACCGTCAATGAAAATAAAAACGAAAATGCCTGCTGGCTTTTGACACCCATCACCCCATTTTTTTTTCTGCAAAGATCCGAAACAAACTATGCTCTCGATTCTAGTTGAAGGACGATTGAACCAATGGCACAGCTGCCTCGGAATGAGAGAACTTGGGATCACGTGAAGATGAAAAGAATAGGAACTGAAAAAGAGTAAAGAAGAAGAAACAGAAGATGGAAAAAAAGTCTTTTGTTGAAATATGCATGGAATATCGAGGAGGAAAGGACTAGTGGTAATAATTAGATGAGTATGCCTTCGAAGTTGGATTATTGAACTAAAAATCGAATGAAATATGTTGTTTCAGAGAACAAGTTATGGAAATTGGAATGTCATAATTCATGACGATTCGATGATCATATTTTGATCTATTGAAGACTCGTGCGGAGTGTTCCGGAAAAAAACATAACATAATATGAATGGAAAAATGGGAAAAAAGGAGAATTCTTGTCATTTCAATCATATTTTCTATTTTCCCCCATCTTGGCAACTTCTTCCATTATGGGAAAAAAGTTCATTTCTCACAGACCACTTGAAAAAAAGGTAATCGGATCAGTTCGCTCTTCTAGAATCCACTTTGGAACAGCTGACACTATCCAGAAAATTCTGAAAAAAATTTCAGAGAAAAATAAAAACATCGATTGCAACAAGAAAATTCGGGGTTTGAATTCATGTCATTAGTGCTCTCCTTCAAAGTAAAGGAAGTATTGGGACGCTTGACTCGCACCCACTTCTTTTTAATTTCCTTCTTTTCCTCCGGATTCGAAAATGATTCGATTCACTGGGGAATTCAAAACGAATTTCGACCGATAAAAAAAAGAGAGCCGCCCATTTGGCGAAATGAATTCAAGATAAAACAAGGAAAAAGAAAACCGATGGATGATGAGAGTAGTCTTTTTTTGTTTAAATGAGAACGCAAAGATCAAAGCCACCTGACACCTACATAGAAGACGTGACTTTCAGAAGAGTGCAAAATAATGGGTAGGAAACGGGAGGCAAATCAATTGTTATGCCTTTCATGTCGGAGATGTTTGTAAGTGCACGGAAGGAAAAAAATGAAAGCCGAAGGAAAGACATATTGTACCTCTAGAGACCGGCCATAAAAGACGGAGCTCCTTTTCCCCGAAAAGGAAAAGAGCCTTCTGGATCCGAAACCAGAGTTCAGTATAGATGTATCACTACCGGAAGATGTCGGAAATGGTGAAAAAAAGAAAGGGAGACGATGGAGGATATCCTGAGAATAAGAGAACCTCTTGAAAACCAAAGTAACATGTGATTAGGTAAAAGTTTGAGAGACACGCTTTTTGGATACTGAGGAATTACTTTTTTGAATGACTAACTACGGGAAAACTGATTGAGCGATTCAGGTGACATGGGAAACATTGAAAGGACAGTGGTGTTTTTCAACATGTTCGAAACAAAAATGTAAAAAAAAATATTTCAGAACAAACAATACCAGGGTTGTTTTGCAAAAACTCGATTTCTAGTAATAACTTGAAAGTATTACAATGGAATTGTAGAATTCGTAAAATTTTTGGCAGTTTAACCTAATTCGTAATTTAAATAATTGTTAAAAATAATTTAAATAATTGTTCATGAGATGACGCAGAAAAAAATCGGGTAAATCAAGAAAATTGAAAATAAATGCGGTAAATGTGAATGTATTTAGGTTACGGTAGTTGTCGTTGTGGGACCTTCGGCCACGACCAACGGCGTGTTTTTCCATAAATACCTCCGATTTTTCGTACCAGAAAAATAGCTCACCAAAATAGAGTTTTGCTTGAAACTTGACTTTTAAAAGGAAAACATATTTTACCAGCACCCTCGCCATCATTATTTTTCAAAGGAACAAAAAACGAGGAACAAAAGAGAGAGAGAGAAGTTCTGAAATGTGTTAATAATAGTGAGTTCCAGAAAAAACAAGTGGGAACACGTGTGGGCTCCGAGAGGAGAAAACCAGTGAGCAAATACTTGTGGTCTCGAGGAACGAACCACAATAAGCAACGAGAAAAAAATGAAACAAAACGGAAAAGAGTGGACGGATTTGGAGGAAAGGAAAAATAGAACAAGGACCGCTGCCTCACTTATCACGGAAAACAAAAAAAGAAAGAAGAAATGAGCGGGTATCATCACTCATCGGAATACTTCCGATTGCTCGTGGAAGAAGTTTCCTAAACGTTAGATGATTCTGGAATGAAAACAAGAGGTCGTCCAAGTTTTCTGAAATCTGATATCACTGAGATTTTGATTGCGAGGGAAAATCACATTTTTTTTAATATCGAGTTCTAACGAGAATGTCATTTTCTTCACTATAAGTTCCTCTTTTAAGATAGGGTTCGCATGAAAAGACACATTAAAGTAACAACCGTAATTCGCTTAATTCGAAAAAAAAAATGTTTTCAGGATTACTCGAGGAAAATGCGAACTTTTGCACTCTCCAAAGATTGCCGTAGAAAAATACAATGACTACAGTTTTTCTCGTTTTGAAAATCTGGTAATCGTAGGATTCGAAGTGCAGAACGTTTGTGAACGGTTAACTAGGTACAATTCGAGTTTTTTTTGTTGAAAAATCTTTAGTCTTGAACCGAATTTTGATCTCAATATAAACTTGAGCTGAAGACGTCATATAAAAGTTAGATCAGGAGTAGAGTAACGTGTCGACAGAGACTCGTGTCGATTGAAAGAAAAAATAATTGAAAAATCGTGTCGACACGAGTCGACACAGAGTCGACTATTGTCGATTCATGTCGACAAAAGTCGACAAAAATCGACAAATGTCGAGACGAGTCGACACGACACCGGCCTAACTTTATGATGGCCTAACTGTTGCAAATTGAATTTTCTAGGCCACCAAAGTTATGATCTGGAAATGGTCTATCATTATCCCGGTGTGATTTCTCGGCCGTTTACCATTGTGGCCTAGAAAACTCAACTTATAAAAGTTAGGCCACCATGTTAAAATGACCTGGAAAACACATTTGATGAAAATTATACTATTTATAGCATAGATGTCCGGAGTTCGGAATCCGTATTCCGGATACCGAGAATTTTTTCGTTCCGGATTCCTTATTCCGGACTCCGGAATATTACTTTTATTCCGGACTCCGGATTCCGTGAATTTTTTCTTTTTTTTTCGTATTCCGGAAAATTATTGCCATTCCGGATTCCGGATTCCGTATACCGTAAATTTTCATTTGTCCGTATTCCGGATTCCGAGAAAATTATTTTATTCCGGATTCCGTCACTCAAAAAAGTCATTCCGGACATCTATGATTTATAGGCATAAAAAGTTTCGCGTCCTAGAAAATTCATTTTGAGAAAATTAGGTAACCATATATTAGGTTGGCGGGAAAGTCTTTGTCACTCTGTTTGTTTAATCACTGTTCTCGTATATGGAGGCTGTGTATGATATCGACTCTAGTGAATAACAAGGTGATAAGAACCTTCCATATAAACAAGTCCCCATCTCCTTCCCTGCTCCTCATCTGTAATTGAAACGATATGTTTGTTCCCACTGCTATTCACATCAGACATGTTTTGATTTACCTCTTCCTATCTCACACCACGATGAAGGATTCGGAAACTTTCTTGAAGAATGTGTACAACACACATGCCCCTCACTACAATACTATTCGCAATTGGTTCCATCGTTTCGAAAAAGATGACTTCTCGCTCGATGAAAAGGATCGCTCTGGGAGACCCCGTGAGTTGGATTTGGACAAGCTGAAGCACGCATTGCAATCGGATCCATTTCAATCTAGCCGTGAACTAGCTGTCAC